ACAGTTGGTCACCAAATGTCAATTCTAGCCGTTTTTGACGATATGCATGTTCCACCGAGAAGAGGCATTTTCCGGATCATTGTTTGCTACGGCTTATCCTTGGGACACTCGGATTACTTCGCGGGCGTCACCCGAGGGCACGAACACTACCTGCGGGTGACCCTTAGTTTGGGGCGGTCACCTTTCTAATTTTGTACTCCAATCAGTCAGGGCGACCGTTTCCCTCACTCCTCGCAAAAAATGAATAATCCACAAATCCGACTGTCCCAAATTTAGAACACACCCACACCGAACTTACCTCCGAGAAGACACAACACACAAGATTCATTCTACCATCAACCCGAACACGGAATAGTCTACTCTCTAAAAATTATACTCTATATCGATGTGAAGTTGAATGTTCAAATATATTCCAAGTTAACGAAACGAAACTCAGCTTATTATCCCTAGCATCTTGAAAAGTCATAGGGAACCGCGAATATCAAATACGCGAAAAAACAATCATATTCGACGTTCTAGAGACTCCGTCAGGTATATCGTGTTCTACGATGCATGTATACATTTGTTTGTTGTTTTCCGCGGATCTCGTAAATACACGCATTTATTCATATTCTTGATAGCCTCGGATCTCGCTGACTGCAAAGTATTAATCTTTCGCGGACAAAGAATATTTTCGATACACAATTCAGCAACGATTCATTGGTATGTGTACCACGGTTGGGAACAATTGGAATTGTTGCAAATAAATATTTATCAAGATAATTGTTCGAATTTTGTTAAATAAGCCATCTGGTTTAGAGCATTAATAAACAAATAAATAAATAAAAAAAAAAAAAAACGCGGAAAAACAGTTACAATTTAACGAAACTATAACCAGATTTTGGCGCACCTCACATGAGTATTCTTCAAGAAATGGCACGCATAACTAAGGTAGCACACGAAAAGGATACGTGGCTGCAATCCAACCGCGCTATCTCTTTAACAAATCTTGAGAAGGAAGCCCAAAAAATTCAGAAAAAGAACAATTTGTGCACGATATCCATGTCGGACTAATCTCTGGCGGTAGTCTACTAATACTTCTCTTAGTCGGTGGCACAGCATTTGGAATTGACGAGATAAAACCATTTTCATTTTCAAGCGGCCGAACCAAAGAAGACGCAACCCCGGCCCCCATCGAAAAAACAACAAGGTCCTCGAACTCAGACCACCGCTTACTCCATCGCCGGAGGAAAGGATCTCCGCTGAACACACTTTGGGTATCGTCTAAACTAATTCAAAATAGCTCCGATGGAAGGGATTTGTCCCCAAATAAAAGACCAGTACATCCGCGATCCTCCTGCATTTCTGTAACCAAATGTTCGCTGAAGCTCGACGCAAACGGAGATCCGCGAAGGTTCCCGAACGATATCCGTCCAGACTGAAGAACGTGGGACTTGGATTTGGGAGCAAGAATCTAGAAGAAGGATTTATCCTTCAAAACATTTCGAAACTGGAGAAGGAAAATCCCGCACGGATCAAACTACTCAGACCACGCGGAAAACTACCAAACACCAAGAAATCCAAATTATACCGGAGGAAGCGGAATCGAAAGCGGAATCCGAAGCGGATCGGCAGTGAAACTGAATGTCTGAGATCTCAACCTAGAAGAGATCACAGATGATAACATTACGAAATGGATGCCGGGAGCCCGTCTAGAGAAGAAATACGGGCGGATCCGGAGGAAACTAGAAATGTTATTTTAAGTATAATTAGGCTCTAGATAAGAATAGAATAAGGATACTGCATACGTGCGCGCGCGCACTTTCAATAACTCGATACATACTCCGTTCAAGAAATCTGTGTAAAGCGTACGCTCTCAGAAAGGAGTGAAAGCATCATTTGAATGATGTTTCACCTAAGAGGGGAGGTGTAACGTACGGAAAATTCTCCGACGTGTTTTTTCTTACTTGTTCCTGAAGGCATACGTCAGGCTGGTGTCAGCCGGCCAGAATTGCTCTGTACGAGTCAAGTACCTTCGAAGGGCGCACGAAAACGAACCTTCTGGAATCGGAGCATATATGGACTACCATTTTTCAATCAAAAATTTGGGTGTATAAAGGGTCCAAATGCGATCAAAAAGCGGGCTAGTTTCAAGTCAATTAGAGAGTGCGATCTAGAATCCGCGATACATACACGCATACACAATTGTACTAAACCAGAGAGCTTGTAATATACTATCTTTTAGCAGTTAATTTGATTGTCAAACTCAATTATTCCATTTCCTGATTCGAAGCGGTAATTGGTAGTAGTAACCCACAGAGATGTATCTTTACTTCATTTACTAGGTGTATCTTCATTTCTATGAAACACATCCTAATTGCCTAGTGGCGACCCGTTGATGAAAGAAGCTTCGGCTGGTTCATGCAATTTTCTCTCATACCTAATGGCGACCCGGAGATAAAAAAAGCATATCGGCTAGTCCACGCAATTTTCCCTTATCAAAATTCCAAAATCGCATCCAATCTCCGGCCACCCAAAGCTGCCTAACAATAGAATAGCTACGCTGCCAATTTCTTTTCTAATTTTATTTTAGAGAGAAATAATTAATTTTTCCAATCTTGCATGTAATTATTCTCGATTTCTCGCGCATAAGCAATAAATTGACAAAAATATTATTGAAATAAAGGTTACTCATTATTTATATGGCAACAAATTGCAACAAAAATTTGATAAGAATGTTTTTACTTCATACAAAATTTAAGATTATCTAAACTTTTTTTTATGAAACTCTATCCTTGTCATCAATTGATACATCATCGTATGTGCTAACAGTATTTTTGGAGAAAATTTTAAAACTGGCACGATTTCCTTGAATATTTTACCAACACCGGATGGAAAACAAATCGACGTAGCGTTTGAATTTTCAAGTGGAACTGTAGCCTTTTCAAATAATATTGAAGAGATACTAAACACTTCAAACTTCCCTTCTCGACTGATTTGAGCTGACACAGTGACAACGCGGATTTTGTCAGGATTAGCTCATTCTGTGGGCAGAGTCACGTAATAGAGCCAAGCGGCAAAAAAGCCCAACCCAATGGAAATATGCCTTAATATTACATAATTCAAGGATGATCATCTTGATCATTTTCTCAATTTGTTCCTTCACATGATCACGAACTTTTTGAATATTAATTACTCTCGCTCATGGTATTTAATTGCGTCTGTTAATTGTAATTGTAGCAACGCAAAGGCTTCTGCATAAGCGTTAAATCAGTATTTTTATTTGTCGGTATCTCTTCAAGATTTGAATAATAATAATAATAATAATGAGGAATAGTAATTTTCAGGTTGGATTTGAACATTATATTGGGTTGGCAAGAAAGTAATTTCGGTATTTCAATGTGAAATAAACCTCAATTTTTTCTATACACAAAATGAACTTTAATCAGTCAAATATTTTCCATTCTGTTCGATGACCTTTTGCCATCTTCCTAGTAACTTCATGATTCCGCGCTCATAAAACTTCTGGTCCTTATCAGTAAAAAAACTCAATCAAGTACACTTTGAGATGATTGCATTACCGATTCGTTGTGTTAAGTAAATTTCTTTCAGTTTCTTAACAAGTCCAAGACATCTTATGGGCTATTCAATTGTTGTGTATGATGCATTTAACCTTTCTGTAATCTCTCGTACAGATATATGATGATTCCATTCAATTATGGCCTCGATTTTGTCATCATAAACTTCAGAAGGTCGACTAGAACGTTGGTCATCTTCAATTAAAAATCTTCGGAACAAAATTCTTTTTAACCAATTCTGACACGTGCGTTCTATTAAGCAATCGACGCCATGAACTTCACATATCTCTTTTTGAGCCTCGGCCGCTTTCTTGCCTTTAGGAAAATGGAAAAGTAAAATGTGTCGAAAAATGTTCATTTTTGCACTTCGTGGGACTTTCCTTCAGGCCACCCACGCCGGACCCGCTTAGCGAAAGAAAGTTCCAAGTACCCTTCAGATAATCCCTTAATTCACGACAGTCTCTATTTGCTATTGAGAACTCCGGAAGAAAAACTCTACTAAAACATGTGACGCTGAAGTCTGGAAAATATCAACTCAAAAATAGCTTCGTCGAACGAGAGTCGTAAATTACGTTGGCCGTTTGCACGAAAGAAAACTTTCTCTTGTGCATGTGACCGGACGTTACATTAGTAACGTCATACAATTCAGCAAAATTATGCAGACAAATAAATTCTAATTCTTTAGGTTTGCTTATATAATATTTATCTATAAAGGATGGGAAATATGTCAGTGGACTTAGCTTGCATAACCTTAATTTCTTTATGTGTTTTCAATTGTTTATTCCCAATTATATTTACATGTAACCATCTAATAGTAGTTTCTGCGTCAGTACCATGCAATGAAACTCCCAAAAGAGTATCAACGTCTTCCAGTGTACCTTAGAGACATTTATTACCTCAAATGTGACTATACCTTTTTTCAGGTTTTGATACGTATTTAATACAGTAAAATGTTAATAACGATGAATTTTCCCCAACAAATTGCATAGCCATGTTACCTTCCCAAACAGTAAGAATTGATATACAGGGTGTCCCAAAAGTTACTCAAAAACGGGAAATGACGGGTTCCTGAACTCATTTGAAGTAACTTTTTCCTTAGCGAAAATGCAACCCGCGGTTTTGTTTACGAGTTATTGACGAAAAACAGTGACCAATGAGAGGCGAGATCAGCTGACGCAAAACGGTCGAGTAAACGAGCGGACGAAGCCCAGTTTCGCTTATTGGGGCTCTATAGCCTCGCGCCAATTGATCACACCTCCCATTGAACACTGTTTCTCGTTAATAATTCATAAACAAATCCACGAATTGTATTTTCGCTAAGGAAAAAGTTACTTCAAATGATCTCAGGAACCCCTCATTTCCCGTAAGTAACATCATTTTGGGACACCCTGTATGCAGTTTTATAATGACTTTACTCACTACGTTATTGAAATTATTTTACAGTTACTTTGGCTAAACGGAACGCTGGGCTTTAGCCGTTATTCCCCTTTAACCGAATTTGCATATTATATGGCAGACAAAAGCGCTGAAACACACATGGCATTTTGCATGTCGGTATTGTCATTCGTTTGGATGCTCGATGCAACGGAATCGCTGGACGCAATTTTGGACATCTGGACCAAGTAGTGAACCAGTGATGTTTAGTTTTGTAAGAAACTTCCAATATTCTAGAGTCTCGTAAATTAAAAATTTTAATACATCTAAATAGTACATTTACATTTTAATGTTATACAACAAAACAAAAATCTCGGTAGCATAAGTCACTAAAAAGTAGTATTCAGCATTTAATTAATCTTTTAGTTATGTTTTTAAATTAATTAATAACTTCAATTTGTAGGGAACAAAGGAATCGATTGTGGACATTCCGTAAACGTAAAAGAAAACGAATAACCTTCGCAAATCCTGAAGTGTCAGATTGGTTCATCTACAAATTCATGTGTAGCAAGGATCAAACTTAAACAATAGACTATAATATATTTCTTAAATTTTTTAACCTCTTTATATATTGTACTAGATCTTTCTATGTGCAAACGAAATATTTGTAATAAATTGTGTTGTTTTGTAACTTCACTGTTATTTTTTATTTCGCCAAAAATTGAAGTTGGAAAAGCAAATTTCTCCAGTACAACATATAGGTATAGGTCTGATATTGGACGTTAAGTTATAGTTTGTGAAGTGCAACTCCTCCGAAGGTTATCTAAATGTTAACATGTTAGAACAGAAGGCAGCGATTATACAGTTCAAAGAAAGAAACAAGGGCTATGCCAGTATCGTGTTGTTTCAAGTACGTTTCGTTTCCTTTATTTTTCTCTCTCCCACCAAAGAGAGGGCGTCGTCGGATGCGTAATGGACCGCACGAGGTCGGGGAGTTCATCTCTAGCAAACTTACGCGCGTCGGCTAACTACCACGGCCGAGAACCGACTGGTGGCTGCTGGTAGCAGTGTAACCATTTGCCTGCAGTAGAGGGACATTCTTCTAGCCAATACGTTTACCAAAATCCCCGACAAACCTCCCACTCCTACTATGTATATCTGCTATTTTAATAAATATATTTATATATATTTAATATACATATTGTGGCGGACCAGACATAAAAAGACACGTCCTTCAAAAGCGGGGTGTGCATATGCCTTTTTCGGGTTTTCCCGACGCAAGGCGTACACACCGCAATAAAACAATAAAAACGTTGGGACACAGCTTCGGACCATAGGTCCCGGATCACCCCGGTCGGAAAATCTTCGGGAAAGGCCTTCTCCCTTCCCAAGGACTTTCCCTTACCAATTTCAATACGTTCTTCCCAATAAATACGAGGACCTCTCGACCGGGAGAAGTCAGTTAGCAAGTTTTCCTCCGACTCTCAACGTGTTCATATTTCTGTCTCATCCGTCATTCGTTTACCTTTATCTTTTACACACTGTACCTCATCGCCTTTTTGTTACAAGTTATATTAAAGTTCTCGTTATATAAAACCAAAAAAACTCTCTCGGATTATTTTATATAAACCGTCGCAGTAACCCCTGCGACAAACTGGTGACCCCGACGTGATCCGAGAGTACCGCGAGTGCGTGATAACTGAGAACTTAGCAACTCTTAGTGACATTTCGTTCGGCAACATACGAACTTCGCGATCCGAGTGGTGTTATACAAACT